TTTTTTAAAGCCCCCCCCCCCCCCCCCCCACCCGCTAAAAAAAGCATACAAATCTGTAGACTCCCTCTAAGGCAATTTAGATACGTAATCCTTCATACATAATCATTCATAATCCTTTTCAGGCATAATCCTTCAATCTAAATAAAATACGGAGAATAGAAAGCACTTGTCAGACAGACTTGTCAAGCAGTTCCAAAAACACTACACTCACTTTACTCAAACTGCTGTAGACTACATATTTTTTTATTTTTACACCATTACAGATATATAGTTTCCTGAGTGATAACTATGTGACACTGCTGATTAATATACATAGATTTTTTTTTAATATAAAAAGGGACTGTTTCACAGTCCAAAATAAATGTTTATGTATTTACAGTACAAACAGATGCATACATACAGTGTTTTTGTTTGTTGTATTTTGCTACAATATTTTTTATCATGTCTACTCAAGCAAAATTATAAGTTAGACTTAAAATATTGTGCCTAGTAATGTACAATATTTCCCAAAGTACTTATTATGTAAAAGGATCTTTGAGCATGACGTTTGATTGTGAGAGACGAGATTTTAATCATACATCATCTTTGGTCAATGAACATTAAAAAAAAACAATAAACAAAGATCTGAATAAGAAGATACACTGTAAAAATTATCATATTTTAATGGAAAAGACTGCAAAAATACAGTAAGAACCGGGTGATTTGTTAATGGTAAGTTCCCTTACTACAGGAAAAAACTGTAATAAATCTAACGTGACATTTAATCAATTTTCCGTTTTTGGAAGTGAAAAAGAACAAATCATCCTATTATTTACAGTGAAAAACCCATAAACTGATATTCCCAGAATGCCCTGTGTGACACTTCACATTTGATGGTTTTTGACTAAAGTTTCTTCTTAGTTCCCTTTCATGGGAACTTCGAACTGCGTCGAACTGGTCGCTATGGGGAACGCTTCGTCATGACCCGTGTCTGAAGCATACATGGAAAAAACACCAACAACACGTTGGCCGGCAACAGCCATGACGTCACTACCGGTGTGACTATAGTATAAATAGGCGCCGGGAGAACACATCATCCTCTTCTTCGTCTTCACTGACTGTTTTGTTTGAAGCGTGCATTTCCATGGTAAGAGCGATCTCTTTAATTTATTATGAACTAGCAAAGCATTTAAGATGTGTGCATCCGTGTCATCGCTATTTGACACCCGATGACACACACGATCTATGCATTGTTTGTTTGGACAAAGAGCACGCACGCGATGTCCTCGAGGGGGCAATCTGCGTGCACTGCGAGCGTTTTCCAATGAAAAAGCTCCGTTCTCGTTTGTCTCTTTTTTCAAGTAAAGAGGGGCAGCCATCTGCTTCCCGCGGTTCAGGACCCGCCACTGCTGAGGCATGGAGGAGAATGAGCTTGTGGGGATCGCAGGTGGACCTGGCCGATGAGTTTAAAGAGGGGCTTTCCCTCTCACGCTCGTCGGCTGTGGAGGGCGAAGAAGATGAGGCTGAGCCTTCCCAATCCTCCTGCCCTGCGTATGATGAGCTCTTGGAAGTTATGGATCGCGCCACGACGATGCTTGACTTGTCGTGGAAGCGGACTAAGGAAGTAACGTCGCAAGGTCGTCTCGATGAACATTATCGTTCTGGCCATAGCCCTCCAGCTCAGGTGAGCCTTCCTTTTCTTCCTGATCTCCATACTGAGATCGAGGAATGGAAGAGGCCGTTTTCCTTATGCATCCATCGGTTCCAGCATACCAGTTATGCCAACATTGAGGCAATGCGCGAAAATGGCTATGAGAGGATGCCCCCGGTAGAAGAGACGCTAGCCAGCTATCTCTCTATGGGTGAGACATCTTCTCTCAAAACTCCCTCCTTGCCATCCAGGCCCCTTCAGATTACATCTCACTTGAATGGCAGGGCATACGCAGCAGCAGGTCATGCTGTCACTTCATTGCACACGATGGCGTTGCTCCAGGCATACCAGGCTGACCGGCTGAAAGACCTGGATAAAGGCGAGGGCCTTTCTCCTGATGAGGTAGCTGAGTTGCGCCGCACCACGGATCTCGCTCTCCGTGCTACTAAGCAGGCCGCCTCTGCTATGGGCAGATCCATGGCAGCTATGGTGTTGATGGAGAGGCATCTGTGGGTGAACCTGGCAGACATCGGGAGGAAAGAAAGGGGCTTTCTTCTCGATGCCCAGGTCTGAGCCCGAACAACCCAGGGGTCCTGGCCCGTCTCGGTTTGAGGATCAGAGACGAGCACAGAAGGCTAGTGTCGCGACTCGTGCTCCCCCCCCCCCTGCGGGTAGGGGTAGAGCTCCCTTCTCGACTGAGAACTGGGTGTGTCACTCCCTCAGCTAAGTAAATTATTGCTAGCTGTTCCAGCTTTGGATCATGCTGCAGGTCGAGCCT